GCAGAGAAAAAACTTGGTACTACTACCAAGTAAACCAGAATTTGTTGCCAGCAGAATTCAGCCTCTAGTTTTGCTTTGTGTACATTAATTTTGAAACCATTAAATTCACTAACTTCACTAGGATCGCTTCATATCCACACTAGTGCCAGTGAAAAATCAGCAGGCTGTTTTAACATCACTGAGATTTACTTTTGTCTATTTAATCATTTCACAAGGAATAATAAATGACATGGACAACTGAGCATTTTACATACAGAAGATAACATCGAGGCTGGAGGCAAATGCAGATTAATATGTGGAAGAAGTAGCTGCAGATCTTTTCTGCATTGAAAAAAAAAATGTTACCTGCAAAGACAGGAAAGAAGTGTAACTATAAATGAAGACAGAATCCTGAAGAAAGGAGGACTTGGTCAGAGAGCCATGCCTACATCTAATAATCTGGGGGAAAGACACAAGTCCCCACCTTTTGTTGCTTGTAATTTTTCCAACATTTTTCTCAAAGTCGCTCTCTAGCATAAAGTGACTATGTGTCATGGGAGTGTTGCCAGGTACAGCGAGGTACAACTGGAACTCCAACAACTGTTTACCATCTTTGCAGCTCGCTGCAGTGTAAGAGTGCAATCTTCAGATTCTACTGCCATGCTAAACCAAACTACCTATCCAGCTAAGAGGCATTAAATAAGAAAGCCCACTTTATCCAGTGGAAAAAGATGTGGTCTCCTGTACTCTTGAAGACTGAAGAATTGAAATCAGAGGAAGACTCTTTTCAGGGAATTCTTTTTAAAAACAAAACAAAAACAAATGTTATTAAGAGGAAAAAAAGAAGAGCAGCAGCAGCAGCAGAGTTAGTTATTACCATCCCCAAAAACTGAATATAGCCTCCAGGTATAATCATAAGTGAATGAGGGGACTTGGATCTGAGAATTTGCGAAAGTGTGTAAAACTAAGTTATGAAACATAGCAAATAGAACTATATATCCTGAATATATATACACATATACATTGTCTGTATATATATATGTATATATATATTATATATATATATATGTATGTATGTAATACAAGAAGTTTGCTCTGACATCGCTGTTTTTTTTTTGCCTATTTACTATGCATTGCGGCCTATGAAACTTTCTTTTCTTAGCTTCAGCACTGATAAACCCGGGAGATATCAGCTGATCTACCAGAATCTGAAACTGGATAATTTATTAGGTTTAATTAACAGGAAAAAGACTAAGACCTAAATCCCAACCGATAGCAAATGCATGCCCAGACACAAGCCAGCAGGCAGCCTGCCCGTCGCAGTGCCCAGCAGCGCTCAGGACGAAGCGCCAGGTAAAGGTGCCACCCCGCGCTCTCCTGCCCTCTCTGGTCTTCCCCTCTTGCATGCCGAAATGGCAGCTTGCCTTCTGCAGCAAGTTCTAGCCAGAAGCCTGCATGTGGAGCTAGGCTTCAGAAGTACAGCAAAATCAATTGACTCAGCCTGTCCCTCTGGTAAAGTCTTCTGCCAAAGATACCCTTTGCCAGAGGCTGGTAGTCTTGCAAAGGACAGCCACACTTTGGAAATTTACATTCAATCCTGCTCCATCAGAGATTCCTTGTGTGACTTTGAATAAGTAATTACCCTGTCTGTGCCTCAGTGTCCTGCCTGAAAATATTTGCAGGGGTTTTCAAAGGTAAGACTGCAAAGCCCTCAGATGCGGTGGTACTGAGAACGAGGAAAGTGAACAGATACAGGATTTCTTTTGGAAGCAGAGCTTTCTGGTTCAACTATCCACCCCCCGCCCCAAACTGTTCCAGAGTTCAAGTGTGGGGGCCAGGAAAGGCTGTGATAGCTCAGAGCATTCAAACTCTGCTCTTGGGGAATGAACATGTCTAATGACACTTAAACAACTGCTGGTGGCTGATAAACAATACAGCATCTTGCCCTTGTGGCCTAAAAGCAGGGTCATCCCATGCAGGGCTTTTGAGCTGTGCTGGGAAACAAAAAGATCTTAGAAGACTTCACCAAGAACAGTACAGTTTTGTGTTATATAATTCTCATTTCTACTCTAAGCCGCCATTCTCTCAGAGGGTTGTGTTCTCTGGCCCTGCTCACGTGAGAGTCGCTGTGTTCTCCTTGCAGCGTTGCTCGTGGAGCTCACGGTTCAGTAACTTTCTATCTGCCTTGATTGTAAGTGGCAGTGTCAACGCTCAGACCAAAAATAAACCCTCCTGACTAATGACATGGATACTCCACAGGCTTAGAGTCATCTTTTTATAGCAACTCTTTGATTTTAGATACCAAACATCTGCTATTTTTGGCACAAAGACTGGGGGGAACTTTCATGATCTGTAGCCTACATGACCAGATTTGCACACTGCTTAGGTTCTGTCACAGTGCTGTGGCTTCTGTTAAAGATAGTGAAATATGTTTATTCTAGTGGATATTTTTACTAACTAGAGGAACAGCTGACCTAGAAAATGGAGACTATACTATCACAGGAGATATCTCCACATTGTTGCTGGGATATTAAGGACTTTTCAAGAGGTTCTAAAAGGTCTCATGGTTTGATGCTTAATGTAATTGAAGAGAAAAATTTTGAATTGAATTATCAGTGAAATGTCACCAGTGATGACTTGGATGTATTTCCTTATTTAATGACCTGGAGAGATTTTTTTTTTTCCTCTCCCTCAAGAGAATATGGTACTAGGGGCATATGCCAAATTCACCCTCTGACAGTAGAATTTCACTCTTTATTCATAGCACAGACTGTACACATCCTTATTCAAACCTTTTTTAAGGTCATAATTTGTCTCTAACAAAACAGCCATAAACAACATTAGAAGCTGTTATGCATTGCTATTACTTGCTATTTTGCCTGATGTCAGCTCAGTACAACTGGATAGCAAAGTAGTAAAATTTTGGCAACTCCACCTGATGTAGTCATTGCTGTCAGTGTTCTAGGAAATTATGTTTCTGATGTTTAGTATTGTGTCAAACTTCAAGGAAATGTGTACTGCTGCTAAATATTTGATAGCTGAAAAATATTTGCCAGATAAGACCTAATTTATGATAGTCAGTACAGAATATGGATGGAAAGATCACTATGGAAGAGAAGTAATTTATTTTCTGATCCTTGTACATCCCAATATCACCAGTCAGATTTTTTAAACAAAGATAATCATTTTCATGATGATAATGCCATTAGCAGCTGGTTAAACACTAGTCCAGAAAAATCAAATCAACCTTTGCCTTAGAAACCGTGATAGCTCAATGATATTACTCAGGACAGAGGAGTGGTGAGAAAGTACTGACTTACAGTAAAGTGAAATCCATGGCTGGTGATCAGAAAAACCTGGAATTCTGGCCTCCATCTTGCAGATTAGTGCTTTTTGCCTTAGAGTTGCTTGCTCATGTAGCCCTTCTAATCAATATAACTTAACAGTAGATCTCTGCCATGATCCTGCAAATGAAAAATCACTACTAGGGCACTGTTGTGTCTAATACAGCATTTGAAATACCAGTATTTGAAATATGTTTTAAAGTGAATTTCACAAGAAGCCTATGAATAGGACCCAGTTTCTTCTGTAAATATAGTCCTAAATACCAGTGCACTAAGGCTGCTTAAGGCACAAAGTAGGATGATCACTTGTCCTATTTTAGGAGACCTCAAGGTATACTTTCTAAGACTAATGAATGCAATTCATTCCACAACTACTCTGAAAGGATTGAAAAATCCAACCAGATTAATTTCAAAGCTAGGGCACCAATTGCTACATCTGAACACAGAGCTTCATATATCTGCTTATTTTAGCTGCTCCCTAATGTTATTATCCACTGGTCATTAAATCAAAACTCAGTCCTCTAGACTTTCTCTCTGAGATACACTGTCTAATGAATTTATTTATGGATGTTAATCCAGCTAGTAAATTGTTCCTCTCCCCCTGTGCATAATCTCACTCTCTTCCTGGTATTTGATCATTTCAAGCACTTAAAGAGAGTCGATAAACTCCCATGGAGAGCTTTTCATGTAAACATTGAAATGAAAAGAACGAAAGATAAAGGATTGAAAAAAACATCATCTTTTCCTTGCTGGATAAGTTAAGTGAAGAAAAGCGACTGATAGATATACGAGTATATACATGCACCTGTTTGTGTAAATCCTTATGCTTTAAAAGATTTCTTCTTTTTCTTTATAAGGCCTCCACAATCAGGTATGAGTGCAGAGAGCAGCCCCACAGAAAAGTGAGCCTCTGTATCTATCTGTATGACAATGTAACGTACATTGTCAACCAGAATAGGTGCAAAAATCAACTCTCTTGCAGCCTAGGAGAGTGTGGGAGAAAATTCCCTCTTTTACCTTAGAAATTCAGCAGTGATTTGTAAACCTGATACTTGTCAGTAAGAATATTAAAATACTGCTAAGTATTAAAGTTTAAGACAGATGCGGTCCCAATGACATAGAAGCTGCATTGTCATACAGCAGATATTTTATTATAAGATATGAAAGAAGATTAAAACAGAGGAAAGCTTTTTTGCTACACTTTTCTGGAGTAAACCAGATCTTTTCTGAGTGACTAACAAGCTTGTCTACAGCAACACCATTAAGCCAGGGTAAGGAAATACTATGTATATCTACTTCCCACTCCTTCCTGTAGGCATACATTTCAAAAAAAGAGATTAACCCACATGCACAAAGATGCTCACTTCAAACCGAGGGTATGCGGCCCCATAAAATGGAACATGGTCCAGATATCCTGCAGCAAGCTGTGACCAAAACCAAAATGAAGCAGTCACATCAGCACAACACTGTGCAAAAGGTCCTCCCAACAGTTCGTTAAGGAAGGAGCAGCACTACACCCCAGGGACTCCTTGCTGTCTTTGGAATCAGAGTTGGTCACTCCTCTTCAGCGCCTGTTGTAGCTAGCTATGCTGTTTAGCAAATGAAACTTCCCTGGGTACTGAATTTCATTGTGGAACTCTTTTAATAAGGCACATATTTACCAGAAAATATCTAACAGACTAAATTCATACTGTTAAGGTGCAGCATTTTCCTTTGTAAACAAGCCCTGGTTCAGTGTGCTGCTCATCTTACTAGAGGCTTATTACCTTACATACTCACTGTAAAGGATGATAGTTATAACCTGCTATGGAGAATTTGGTGATACATTATGAATACCCAAGCTTGGGTACCCAGCTCTCTGATGTACATTGTGCTTGTGTGGACTCTGTGACCCCAATGAAATAACAACTCTTGCAGTTGTTAAAGCAATATGTTGTCTTTACAGATAAGGGTGGCCAGTTTATTTCCAAGCCTTTTTAAAAACCCGATGTTGAAAGTGAGTGTTATTGTTTGAGTCCACAGGCAAACTGTCAAGCACATAGTCTTTAGGGTGGCTTTTCCTATCCCCGGTTTGATGCACTAGGTGGAAATGAAAACTCTGCTGACAGCAGGACAGATGCCTGATAAAGTACACATCAAACATTTAGTCAGATACTCCACCATCCCAACATACACCCTTGACAGAGAGACAGACATTTGTGTAATTAACATTTGGCAAGCAAGAGGCAGATAAGTAGCCAGTAGGCAGTTTACTGAGGACTGATTAGTTCTATTCATCTGTGTAATATGTGCCACAGCTGCCAGTCAGAGCTGGGGGGATTCTCTGTACTGACAGTCAAGTGTGTTCACCTCTTAGCTCACAAAGGAGGGACATTCCCTTTCCAGAAAGAGATGTAAATAAAAAGACTTTTTGGCAGAGGTTAGTGCAACATAGACTAGCACATTTCTATGGGCACAGGATACAGGCTGAAACCACAGTAAGCTTACCTGGTTTAAAGACTTTCCGTAGCCAAAACTATAAAAATCTAAAGAATCTATGCTGAGAAATAGATGCGCTAGAGATGTTCCTGGTACAAATTCCCTTTAGGGCTCCTTCCACGTTTTCCCATAGTGCAGATCAAGAGTCCTGTAAGTAGAGCCCTGCAGCAACGAATGCAAAACCAGAACATTTTTATCTTTTCTTAAACATGAACACAGTATCTCGGCTTCTCTCACCTTCAGCTTTCAAAAGTGTGTGACTTTTACTGTAGAGCAGACAGTGCTCAGCATCATCTTTTGAACAAGTTCTGTGGTCCACATGCTCCGAGTTGTGAGATATCCACAAAACAAAATCAGTCTTTGGGATCTCATACTGACTTTTCTAAAGCAAAAACCTGCTTTACCCCAAGCCAGCAAGAGTGTTTCCACCGGTGTCTTTCTTCCTTTGGTTAACATCCTGAAAAGTTCTACCCACAGCTGTGTAGTTTGAAAGGTATAATTCTATCTTGGGAAAATGCAGGAAGCTTTCTTCTGTAAAACTAATGCCAAAAATAGTCTATGTTATGTACTGTCTATTCAAGTCTTCCTTGCTTTAAGATAGCAAAGACTATGGCAGCTTAGACTTCAACAGAATTTCACACCAATAATGTGAAATAATTTGAAGATAGTGAGAAGACAGTTAAGATTATGGAGTTTTATTTTGGTTGAAGAAGAAGACATCAGCAGTGAAATTAGAGACCCTAATGGCATGTTTTTTTCCTGGAAAAGTTCCACATACCAAAGATTAAGCTGACATGGAAGGCAAACCTGGAGGCTGAGATAAGACAGTAAGGTCTAAGAGTAGCATAGGAAAACAGCAGTGGTATTGAGAGAAAGAAATCAAAGATGAGAACTGACAACACATGGCAGATCACAAATACCAGTGGACTGGAGACCGTAGAAACCAGCATGATGCAAAGGAGCGGAGTCACGAGCCAAGTTAGTAGTTCTGAGTGAAGACCAAGTCAGCAAGAAGTGTTTTTTGATTAGCTCGGAGAATTGAATGCAGAACACAAGCTGAGTAAAGACATGAGAAAAGACACAACAAAAATATATAGGTCACTAGTACACAAATTTTTAAAACATATCACAAAGGACAAGTAAGAATTGGCAGTCAAACTCAGAAAAGCTAAAGGAAAATAGTTAAGTGGAAAGGATGTAACAACATAAATGAAGATGAGAGAAGAGCATCTTTCTGGATCTGAAAGCAACAGGAAGGGAGTTTGATGATTACATTCAAACTTTCCAGTTTTTATCATACAAAAAAGCGTTTCAGCAATGTGCATCTTTGAAATATTGCAGTTTAGCCAAATCAGCAGAAGATACTTCTGTTATTCTGTTATTTTTCTTTAATTAGAATTACATAGTCTACAGCAAGTTTGTAAATGTTTTGAAACTTCATTTTTAAAGAACAACCTTTTCATAAATTAAAAACTACCATTTTAAATCTCTTCCACACCAAGACTGCTCTAATGCTGCAGCTAGGCAGGTTATAAGTTATACAGGCAAGCTATAAGTCCTCAAATAGACATTAATAATAGAAATAATTGCAGTGTCTTTATAAAGCAGTATGAACAACTATGCTGCAGTATAAAAATCTATTCCCCACTATAACCAATGATAAATCAGACACCCATTAATGAATAAAAGTTGTGAATCATCATCTTTAAAAGATTTAAGACTATGCAATCTAACAGCTTCTTAAGGTCTTCCCTCAAATTCACCCATATTAATAGCTGCATGACCAGAAATGAGTTAAAAAATGGAATTTTGAATCACTGATCTAACCCGAGTATTTGTCTGATCTGCATCAAAATTGCTTTGGTTTGTCTTTGAGACACAGTAGTGCACAGTATCAGCAAACTCCTAAGGACAACAGTCCTTGGAGCACATTGGAAAAACACTGTGCCCTCACTTAGCCCATAGAAAGTCATACATTTTAAAAAGACATTTTCACCAAGCAAGAAGGCCTAGTTTAACACAATGACATTTGTAAGGAGTTTCTTATTTTATCTGAAACTATTCACTCATCCATCAGTATCCAATTAAATGGGCTATGAGTCAGATTGCAACATACTATATTGTCTGCTGATGACTAATAAGCCAGGTCAACATCTATACATAGAACTGTTCAGTGAATATATGGTGATTAGCAACTTCAATTAGAGTGACCATGAGCACAGTAGATATGTTTTAGTGTTGTTTGTTGTTTTGTAAATCCAGAAGCCTAAGAAGTCCAGATATACCATTAAAGTTATCCAATTGAACAATTCCAATTTAATAATGCTTACTAGTGGTGTTGTACTTTTTGGTTTATTATATTTTTAGAGTTTTTGGAAAAGTGAATAGGAAATTGTAGAAAGGCATAAGAAAAGGAGGACAATGAAATTTAAGCCTTAGTTTTCCTTCTTTTGGGTTCTGAACCCTCAATTACTTATTGTGTCTCAAGAGTATAGAGTCTTCCCCGCACACAGTATGCTTTGTTTCTCAGTAAGAAACGAGAAACTAAAGATGATTCACATTAGTTAGTTTTATTGCCATGAAATAATGTTTTGACTTATTTGGGCATCCATTTTTGATGGCTGCCAGTAAGAGAGTGGGGCTGAAGTCTTCATGTATGCCCAACACCAGAGGTTCAACTTCTGGAAGGTGCCAGAAACTTATTCAAAGCACAACTTGTATATAAATACTCACATTGTTCCTGAGGAAATATTTTTGGGCTGATGCTGTAAGACTTTAGTCTTCTATGAGACTAGATAGAGGATTTCTGCATTTTCCATTAGTAATCCTACTAATCCTTAAGTAATCTACTTGAGATATTGAAATAGAGTCACATCTCCATAAATTTACTTCACCACTTCAACACAAAACGTCGATAGAGGAAGCATATCTGCCTCTTACACAGGAGGAAGATAGGCAGAGCTATTTTTTAAAACAAGAATTGTATTTCATACAAGTCTCACCTGAAGAAGATAACTCAGAATACCAAAAGACACCAAAATTACTGGCTTACCCCTCTCTGTACACTTCATACTTATCCCTTAGTATTAGCTAGTCTAGCTTTTTCTCATTTATCTCTTTTCCAATATATGCAGCTTGAATCTCTTTTCCAAATAGCTTCTATCGCTCTTAACTGCAATACAAAAATAGTCCATTTGTAATTTAATTGTTTAGAACCAATTAGCTAAGGCTTTGCCTCATTTCATCAGCTCAAAATTTCTGTATATCAAATCACATTGTTCCAGCTGAGATCCTAATGAGCTAGAATTTCTCATCTTGGTGGCTCCTAAGTTCTATTTATAGAACCCTTTCCAACAATGAATTCATCTGTTCAGAAAACAAGGTCTGACTGTGCTCAAAAATAAGTTATAATGAGCCGTGTCAGCAAACACTAGATAAAGGTAGTGCTGAAAGAGGGAAATTAATACTTCAGGCTCATTTATGATTTATGAGTTCAGAGTTAAAATGGAAGAGGCATATAACAAAGAACCATGGAAAAGTCCCTTCTTCAGAGAGCGAGGGTGAATTGAAGTTTCAGGCTTGAATAGGTTATTAATAGATTATTGATCTAAACCATTTTTGCTACCAAAAAAAAAAAAAAACTCTCCCAAAATATAACTTCTAAAACAACAAAGATACGCTACCAGCTAATAGCTAAATTATTCCTGTGTGGCCATAAGCATATAGAACTAAAATCACTAGAGCCACTGGTACTGCACATCTAAAAGTGCACCCTCATTTGCAGATGCACTGTAGACATTCAGGAGTTTCACGCTCTTACTCCTTCCAAGTTTTTCAAGGAGAGGTCAATTGCTTCTGGACTGAGCCCCAGGTTGCCATGCCAGTGAAATATCATGTGATCTCAAGGAAAAGCAGAACAGTCCATTTTCTAATCCACACCAGGGAAGCAAAAATCCCAGGCCATTTGTTCAGTTTCTGCTCTACCAGTTTCACCGTCACCACAGCACAGAAGGATAATAATAATACTGTTAACTGAGTACCTGAAGAGGTCTGACTTGAGGCAACACCTGCATCAGTGCATTCTTTCCAGTGAAGACCATCTTGAAAATCAGAACCAGACTTTGACATGTTGCTAACAAATGCATCGGAAACATTAAATCATCCTCTAATGAAGTTCACAGAAAAATTCTCGAAGGAGCTAAGATTTCATCT